GCTTGCTGCCTCAGGCTGTTGTTAAGCGAGGAGTCCTGACAGTTGATTAAGCTTTGGAGGTCGTTTGTAAATACGAGAAAGCATGCAGATCGGGCAATAATTTTCCAATTCTTTACCACTTTTCATGCACAACACAACAGTTTGGGCTCTCTGAAATTTGTGGATGTCCTTCTCCTAAGCAAGTAACAACTGAACTGATCCAAACAGTTCAGCTGATTACTCTCAAAAAAAGAAAAAAAGGAAAAAACACTCGAAGACCGTTGCAGTTTTACTTACGAGATCCATCTATTGCCAGTTTGTTTGTCTGTTCACCCCTCATTTCTCAAACATATTCTAACTTTTCTGGCAGCCCTCCCATCCTTCGTACTACCATACATTAAAATATGTTCTTAATTTCAGGTTTTTTGCATAAATTGAATGTTGAATTATACGCAGCCACTGTTCAAGCAGAGGAGCTTATTTCCCGCCGAAAATCTATTTAAGCGGCATCAAGTTGCTTTCAAGTGTTCACTGGCGGTTTTTTCAGCCTGATCTATCGAAGCAGAAACTGAATGAGTTTTGGGTGCAGTTTCAATTCGCAAAACTTGAAGATCGGCTGGGTTATCATTTCGCTGATCGCGCATATTTGCTGCAAGCATTCACGCACGCATCCTATTACAAGAACAGAATTACCGGCTGCTATCAGATGTGATTTCGTCCACATATATGGGTCCAACTCTTATTTTGTGCGCTTGTTAGGTGAAATATATCAGGGCTAAATTCGACTTTCGTTTTCCTGTCAGGCATAGCTTTTTTCCCCAACGATATGGCTGAATTTTACTACATGCTCTTTAGCAGTATATTCTTCTATCTCAAATATGTTTTAGCGTTTGGAATTTCTTGGTGATGCTGTATCGGATTATGTTATTACGCGATTCTTATTCGAACATTCAGCGCATTATAGTCCTGGTGTTCTCACGGATTTGCGTTCGGCTCTTGTTAATAATACAATTTTCGCTTCATTAGCTGTACGATATAACTTTCATAAGGTATTTTTTCTTGTTGTAGTTGTTTAGAATTTTTTTAGAAACTGCACGTGAAAGATTTACCATCTTCCACTTTCGATAAGCGAGAAACATCAATCTGACCTAGTGGCAGTGCGTTTTTCGACATTCTTTTCAGGAAAAAAATCTCAAAGGCATCTAACGGAAATGATCTTGTTTGGGAGAATATCGAAAAGCAGTGTTTAGCTTCTTGATAAAATTAGAATTTTA